AGAGATTTTCCGTTAGTTCGCCGCTTTTCTTCTCAAGATAGGTTGTTGATTGGTCGTTGCTTTCGTTAGCCGCGCTTTGTTGATACATGGTTCCACTTCCAGGCACGTTGGATGAGCTCGAAGCCGGACCTGAGCTGGTCGTGCTGACGAGCACAGGAGAGTTAATGGGGCTAACGACTTGCAGAGACCCATTGTAAGGAGATGGAAAAAGTTCCTTGGGCTGCAGAGACGGCTTCTTTATCTCCTCTAGCTCTTTCTCGAGAATTCTTCTCTCTGCCAGTAACAACTTGTCTGGAGAATTTATTATGACTTCCAGATCATTCTGCCCGATATATTTTAGCGAATGCATACTCTGAAAGCCTCTCCTCTCAAACTCTGGGGCTAACCTTTCGAGGTTTAATCCATGTGAGATTGACGACAGCCACGTATAGACCTCCAAAACACCAAGGCAGTTTTGACCTGCCATTTTCGCAGTTTTCTCACGTGTAAATGGAGTTGAACACCAACTATTTGTGACGTTTGATTGACAAATGAGTACTCCTCCCCCTTTTTTGTCACATTTCACAGCGATTTCACAGGTAAATTCATTCAGTCACGAGTGATTAAATTTCTTCGGAAAAATTTTGGGGCAAAACCGCTGTGTCCGAAGCTTGAGACAGCAGTGAGATTTTCTAGATTTTGGCACGTAAAACATTGTTTCAAGGCGACAATTTATGGGATTATGTTTCGGTATCACTTTTTGTCTGGAGCATTGTTGTGACAGCTGTAAAATCATTCAAGTGTGAGATTGACCCAGCAAATTTCTCGACAACTCATTTTGCAACTTTGCCATTTTGTATGAGAAAAGGTAGTATATCTGCCCTCTCATTCTCTTCCACAGATGATATCTAATATTGCAGGAATATACAGGTCAGTAAATAAAGAAGAATTTGTTTATTCAATTTGTTCAGTCGTGCTATAATTTTATTTACCGCGTAATCAGAAGATTGAGTTAGTCTACTAGAAATACCAGAGTGTTTCCTTTGGAATGTAGAGGTCTAGAAAAGGTATCCACAATGCATAAAATAGTTTACGGATTTCTGCTGTGTTATGTTTTGGCATGCCTCGTAGATCGCATAGGCTGTTTCTTCCTCTGCTAAGCGCTGATTTCGTCGCAGGAACTCTTTGATGTCATGAAAACACAGTTCGCAAGTGTTGAACTCGGGTGAATATGGGGGTTGGAATAACAAGTGTACACCTCAATTGTCCAGCAAAGCAGTAAGAATAGGCTCCACGAAGTGACCATGGTGGAAACCACAGTTGTCCATTATTACTGTATCGCCTCTCTCTTGCACAGCCCATCCATCTGCTCTTATGAGATTAACTGCTTCCTGGAAAAATAACAGGAGCTCTAGGCCATTGGACGGACCTTCGAGTACATTCATAAAGTCTACGCCGAATGGAGAATGCAGCAGATTAATGGTGTATGTAGCACTTTTGAAGCGTACCGTTGGATTTCGAATGCAGGCTCGCCTCTGGGTGCATTTCCGTATTTTCGGTTACAAGTCGTTTTCACAACACTACTCTCGTCAAAACAGTGAACTGAGCCTGGTTCCAAGTCGGATATTGTTTCAAGGAATTCATTTCGACGATGGATATTGCCACTCCTTTGTGATTCTAATGGTATTTGCTGTATTTTCTTTTTTGTCATGTAGAGATCCTCCCTGATACACCTTGATATGGCAGACTTCGACGGCAGGTCCAGGAGATGAACTACTCCGTCGTGTAACAAACGATCTTGTAGTTCCCTTACGTATACGCTTGGTTTGATAAGTTTTTCCGTTTCAATACAGCTGATTACTTCAGCATTCATTATTATTCTCTCTGGTGGATCTCATAGATGCTGGAGCGAGGAACCGGTGTGATCGTAGTCGGCTAACACATTCTGGACGAAGCAACGGCTTGTTTTAAGCTCTCTAGCAATTGCTCACTGTGACATCCCATCGTGGTTTAAGTCAAGAACTTCTTCTCTCAAGAGTTTGGGATAATTTCGACCGTTATCATATAGTTTTCCATCTTGATTCCTGCAAAGCTGCATTTTGAATTTTCCAGGGTGGCCTTGGTTCGAGTAGCGGCACCGTAAGTTCTAACCGAAAACTATCATACAAAGGACAACAAAAAAGCACATGTTTTTCATCTTCAATTTCATTTTAATGGCAGAAAGAACAGATTCTTTGATTGACTGGGGTATATGGAGTTATGTATCTTCCCGTTTCAATGTGTAATTTATGATTGCCTAGACGGAATTTATTAATTGCAATTTTTTGTTGTTGGTTTATTAGATCTAAAAATTCTATTTTCTTAGTGTCTTTTTTTGAATGAGGACTAAAAGTCTATTTTTCTGTTTGCATTAATTACCATTAACTGGTGGTCCTCCTAGAGCTTCCTCTTTAACTTTAATTGAGTAGCTCTCAATAAACACAGTGATAGTCTACCCATTTCATTTGTAGCGGCAACATTTGGGCATTGCTTGTTTACGCCTAAGGTTTGCTTACAAAAGTAAATGTTAGTTTTTTCAATTTCATCTTTTTCCCAGGCAGAGAGGTCCTCTTTGTCATAGATACCCCAAACTTCCGAGCCATCTAATAGGATTGGAAGAAAGAGGTAATCAAAGAGTTTACAATTAATGTCCAGAGGCAATTTGGTGAAATTAAGATATTGACGAGTTGCAAAGACTGACTACGTGTTTTTTCTTTTTAATTTCCTTAGGAACCTTTGGAATTGCTAGAGTAGGAAAAATTAACACCATGATATGTACAACTGTTAACGATTTCAATAGTATTGTTATCAGTTCGATTGCATCAGGACCAATCTTGGTACGCGTGAAGCGATACTGAAGTTTCTTGACCATATCTGGGCCTGTTGTATTTTAATACGTTTAACTTGTTAGAATATGGCTGTTTTTTTTGCTGCCAGTGCATCATCTGAATTATTTCGAGAACTAAACTCACAGTGTCACCTAAAGTGATTGTACCACTGACCAAACACTCTTTGATGTTTGAGAACTGTATTTTGATTCCAAATGAATCTTTACATTAAACAAAAATGGTGACTAAAACCAAAATCGAAAAACAACAACACCACGAGGTTTTTTAATTACGTCATTATCACATGATGTCAATCATAGGTACGCAAAGCGTACAAATTGAACTAAAACAATGTAGTTACAGTCGCGACACACATGTTTATAAGTTTAGAAAGCTCTATCACACTACACTAGCAATTGAAACCATGCCATGCCACAAGATTCATAAAATAAAACAGGAAGTAAATTGTTAATTTAATTTTAATTTATTCCATTTCACTGCAATTACATGGGAAAATAAAACAAAAGAACACACAATAATAACAAATTGGGTTACATAACAAGGCAGTGGGGAAGACTAGAAGGGAACTGACGAACCATACGTGCTAGTCAACCCATTATGAAGAAAATATACGGATATATAAAAAACTTAATCAAGGTATGTAACTGGCTAGCTGCTAACTACCTAACTGAATAATCTAACTAACTTACTAACTAACAACCTTACTAACTAAGTGCTGGTTTAGCCCAGGTGGTACATGGGTGCTCAGGGTCGAAAACCCTATCGTTATAAAAATTAGTGCATAGTCTCTTAAAAGAAGAAACACTACAGCTAGCCGTCCTCAACGCATCAGGCAGATTGTTCCATAGATACGGAATCCTATTAAAAAATGTTCCCTTAAAAAGTTCCGTCCTGAATCTATTAATTTTTAGTTTATTACTTGCATGCGATCTTAATCTCTCATCTGAACAAAATTGAAAATACGACTTAAGTGAAGAGTTAAAATGCCCGCACTTCAGTTTATAAAAAGTTGAAAGATCCTTGACTTCTCTGCGGTAAACCAGTGGTAGCAGGTTGAGACGTTTTAGGCGTTCATTATAGCTAAAATCGGGTAAAGTGAAGTGTGAAGTGAAAACCTTTATTAATTTATAAGGCTCAGGGTAGCCCCTTCAGACGCAAAAAGCTGTCTGTTATCAATGGGAGCCCTGAGCAACAAAAGTAACAAGCCGAGTTGCACGTCTCTCTACATGGCTTCAGTTTATCCCAAATTTGCTACAACTATGGCAAGACATACAAATCACAATGTTTCTGCCTCGCCTCTGACAAGATTAATTGCAATTTTGTTTGGAAATATAAAACCTGATAAAAGAACAATTTTTGTTTCAACTTCATTGTGATTAACATACCTGCTAAAATTGTCTTAAGTTGTTCTACTATAGGTATTTCAATGAAGTAGGCCAAAGTGCAGAGTTGAGTTCCACAAACTACACACTTTGCTCCATTTTCAGGCTGTGAAGCACCTACGTAAACTTTACAAATCAAGTTCGGACAGTAGAACTGTCAATTGGGTGCTTTAAAGCGTGAAAATACAAGTGAAACTCCTTCAGTACAGTGATACATCTATTCAGTTTCGGACAGCGGAGTTGAATGAGCTCTAAGAAGTCTTTAAGTGCAATCCCGGAAAGTTTATGACGTAGAGAAAAGGCCATTAGCAACAGAGAAATCTCTCCCAAAGTAATTGGAGAGTCTTGATAAAGAGCTTGCTCATCTTTGGATGATTTCTCTTGACTTGAGGTAGCTGAAGGGGTTTTTCGGAAACACTCCACGTCTGGAATCTCCTCGCTAAGATTCAGATTACCTAACAAAGGGTCTTTGTCACAACTAGTCAGATCAAGGTCTTCATCGCTGTCCTCTGTGTCAACACAATCACTACATTCTTGTAATTCGCCCTCACAACTCAATTTCTACCGCAAATCAAGCGGCAATCCTTTACAGTTGTCTACACTTAAAGGGTGTATTACCTGCAGGCATTCTTAAACCATTTCGACTCTTGCTTCATTTATTTCATTCCTATCTGTTTCGAATAAATACAGTTTCTGTTAGAAATTCGTACCTACACTTTGAGTTAAAAACAGTTAAAAATATGAACTCAATCGACTCGCCTGCACAATCCACCAGCTCATTGTATGCACACTCTTGCGTGGAATTTACTCTCATTGCTCCTTCTTCACTTCGAAGCGGCATTTGGGATACAGTGTTTGAAGACTCAAATGTTTTCCCAAGGTAAATATTTTTTGATGAAAAGGCTCTCTTCCCTCTATTACAGTTACCCAGGAGGATTCATTGGTATGCTGTACTGGTGACATACCGTTCACACCATCAGAAGAACACTTTTCTTCATTAGAATTTTGAGACTTGTATTTTAAAGGGCGGCTTTCCTTGCCTAAGAGTGGAATCACTGTCATTAAACTTTTATTTTCCTCACTGAGAATTCTAGCATCTTCTCTTATACTTTCGTAGCACGATACGAGCTCCCGAATTCTTTCTTTGAGAAGGCCATTTTCCTCACGAAGAGATGCAATAGTTTCATTTAAATATGATGACGAACTTCCCTCTAACTTAAGTTTTCGATTACAAGGCGACAAACATCCCTTACTTTCGTCACAATAAAGGAGTAGATATCTTCGAACTTCGGGGTACCTTGGCTAGATGACTGGCCGTTAACAGGGTGTACATTAAGCACTGGTTCAGTTTCAATTACTCGCAAGCTTTGCTGTTCTGATACAATGGCGTAGCGGAGTTGTTGAAGAAGAGTAGGCTTGTTGCCGCTCTTCTTAAGTCCTCGCTTATCAGGTTCAGCCTTCAATTTTAAATGATGAAACTTCTCTGTTATCAGAGTGCCAGATGTAAATTTAATTTACTTATCTCTGCCCTTCTTACGATTTCAACCTGTACAGCGTTGCCCTCGTTTTCGTTTTCTGCAGCATCATCCGCAGCATCATCGGCAGCATCATCGCTCACGTTAGAGTATAATGATTTAAAGGCACCCAAGGTGTTTCCATCAGTCTCAGTTGAGATTTCGCCAGTGAATTTCTTGTCGCCAGGATGTTCAGTTTGGGGTAGAATCGCTGGATCTGAGCAAGGTTGGTCGGAGCGATTTTCAGCACGTCTGCACGCCAGCAAGATAAACACAAGATAATACATAATCTTTTTATTGACTAAAATAACTCTTACAGTAATCCGTTTTCAAAAGGAACAGCGGTCTGGCTTAACAAACTGAGTGATGGTTCACCGATTTCCATATTTGTGAAGTCGCTTGGTTGTGTAGCGTCATATTACTTATATTGACCCCGTGCTTAGGTCTTCCAAGGGCAAATCAGTGGACTTCGAAAAGTTCTGTGGCCAACGCCCGCAAGGTTGTTTAAGATATCTTTAGTCCTGATCCAGTTGAAAAAGATACTGGTTGTAGGGTCCGCGCAAGTTTCTCTTTAGCTTTTTTGACGAAGAATGATCCTCACTCTTATTGGCCATTTTTTTTTTGTCATGCTCCGTTGACATCTAGTACAGTCAGCCTATATAAGGGATATTATGATTTTCCTTATTTGGTGACATATGGGACATGGAGTTTAGTTTTGCTGGGTGAAACGAACCTTTTCTCTTGATTGGTGAAGCGGGGAGGTCCGTTGGTATTTTGTCTTTTCTATTTGCCTCTGTCTTTAGGCATAATGAGCAACACAAAGAATGATGATAGAAGGCAAACAACACCATCATTCAAGTATGGTGAAAGAAGTAAGTGAAACTGTTTTTTATTTATACAAAGTTCGAAGTTTATTTCACACGTGAAGGTGCTTTCGATTCGTGGTCAGAATAAACCCCCAAAGTTTGTTGGATTTCAATGGCTAAATATAATCTTATAGAGTGACCTGTTTCCATAAACTGTGTAAACGTTTCCTTAATTTGAGTTTGCAGACTCCCTTGTGCTAATGCACTATAAAAGTAACCTAAG